TTGGGCCTTGGAATATCCAAAAGGAAACTAATTTGTGATGTTAATTTTCAAAATAAAGCACCAGCAATTAGAATAATTACAATTAAAGCATATTCTCAGTCATCAGAAAGCAAAGCATGGTAGAATAAACTCCATGTGTAATTAATACTCCCATCAAAAGACCTGTTTCTGGTAATATGCTCTTGAATTAACGCAGGCCACTTAAAAACTTCAACATTGTTTTCAGCAAATATACAAGACTTTGTTAGAATTGTAAACAACTGCAAGCACCTGAAGACATTGTCTCTACAGGAAATAGATCTAGGTAAGTCATTAGTTTTCTTTTATCTGTATCATAGCTGAGAGACCATTTCTTTGAAAGATGTGTTAAATGTGATAAATCTTATACCAGTTGCAATACAATAGGGTTATTATGGGAGAACCATGATCTGGGACTTCTATTTGACTTGACTGGACAAATAGATTAGGATCTCATGAGACGCGGTAGTGCCAAGTTACCACGCCTCGAGAGTGATTTGTTCTTGTAAACTACATGAGAGGCAAATACAAGTGTTTGATATACAGGTATAAGATAAAGGCATCTTTTCATTTTATGACCATAACTCATAGATAAAGTTGATACATAGCTGTGATGTTTGAAAATCTTTATGAAAATATATTTATGTTGACCAGCAAAGAAACTTTTCTAATAATAAGATATTTTGTAATAAATGTTTCTAAAAAGTCATTTAGGCATCTTTTTTGGAAATTTTTCCAGTGAAAAGAAGTGCCCTTAGCTCTGCATCAATTTTTATCTTACAGTTGAAGTGGGCAAAGATTTGCTGACGGTGATATTGACATCAGAGAATTCTTGTGTGAACAATCTTGACCTTAGGTAAGGTATATTTGTCCTGTGATGAGAAATCCTTGTTTTGTTTAAAAGTAGAGTAATCATGATGGAATTCTTGTTTCCAAGAAAGCTGCCATTTTTAAGTGTACATCAGTTAGAAATATTTATGCCCCAAGATGTCATGTTATTGTTTGCTATTGTATGAGCAGTAATTCCAAACTACTCTGTATGGAGAAAATAATATAACTTGTAACGATTATGAGCACGGAATGTTTGTTCGTACACTTTTCTTGTCAAAATTAGACACAACCTCTAGTTTATTTTTTTTTATTTTTTTTTTTTTTTGGAAATAAATGGTATTTTTATTAAACAAAATATCAAAACTGAAGTCTTTAGCACAAATTGTGATAAATAAAAATGGATTTAGCTCTGGTTTCCTTATAATGCTTGTCCAATTGTTTATCTCGAGTAAATGATGATTTGACTTTTTGCCCTTTTTAGTTGTTTTCTTGGCAGCTTTCTTGGGAGACACCTTAGTTGTTTTTGGTCCAGCTTTCTTTCCTTTTGTGTCCTTTGCTCCTTCATTTTTCTTCCCCTTTTCTGGACTTGATTCCTCATCTTCATCCATGTCATCTTCATCATCATCATCTTCATCATCATCTCATCATCATCCTCATCTTCCATACTGTCATCTGCACTTGACATGCTCTCATCCATCTTGCCTTTCTTTGATTTTTTATCACCTGCACCTCCAGCTTTCCTCTTTTTTGATTTCTTGGGGCTCATATCTTCCTCCGTAAGTTCAGACTCCATGGTATCTTCGAGAGCAGACTCATCTTGACTGTTCAACTCATCTGGGGGGAACTCAACTAACTGCTGTCCACCAAGAGAAATTGGACCTGAACCTTCGACCAATCTGAAAGTAGCTTTAACCTCATTGCCAAAACTTATATCTAAATTGCACATATCTGACTGGCCTAATGTTAATGATAGTAAAGGCTGTGATATATCAGTTTTGTCAAAGTTTTTGGTTTCTACTTGTACAAGATTTCTTTCTCCTTTAACTGCCGACGCTCCTAGCACATCATTTTTAAGGAATAAAGTGTGTACAAGGTAATCATTGTCCTCGTCCTCCTCCTCAAATGTCCAGGTGTATGTTGGTTTATCCTTGCTTAACTCCACACCCAAGAAGTATTCTTGTGCTGCCTCTACCATGTTTTCGAGCCGTTACTGTCACGTTCGTCCTACTCCTAAGCAAAAAAAAACAAACAAAAAAAAACCTCTAGTTTATTGCTGTCAAGTATATCTTTTTACCAATTCATACATATTTACTACTTACTTGTATATTGATTTTCAAATGCGTCAATAGTATAGTAATTTAATTTAATCGATTACAATTTTTTGAGTAATCACAGTAATCAGTAATCATAATTTTTTTCCTGTAATTTAATCATAATTTAATCAATTACATGACCAATTAATCAGTAATCACAATGATTACATGTTTTGATTAAAATACATGTTAAGCTAAAAAAATTGCTGAACAAACATACATATAAAGGTTAAAAAAGTACCAGTGTCAATGCCTACTAATTGTCTTAGGTAGTGTAGGTGAATTAAATACAGTCACCCAGGTCAGATTTGATGACACCTGTGTTTTAATAAGGTGATGAAATGATCACTGACAGATTGACCCAATACATAAATGATTGTCACAATTATACCACTTAAATTTAGCTGTGAAATTATAACAATGGCCTGGATAGGTATATTATCACTTATTGAGAAGAATTAACAGGTTCAGTAAAGAGCAAGTATAAGCTGCAATTACTGACAAAAGTGAGATATGGTTATATTTTCTGTTACATTTTGGTATTGTTAAGTCCATGTAGAAGCAAAAAGTATTCAGCATTGCTGGAAAAATCTTTACTCCTACGAGGTGCCTCCTGAAACCAAATACTTTTGAAAAAGTAATGAACATTAAATGTAATATGAGAATATAGCTTAGTAAATAGGAGGCAACACATGTACATATGTAGACTGAATTAATTACTGTAAAACTAAGCTGTTTTTTTTTGTACATTTGTTGTATTGAAATGTTCAATAAAACGATAGTGTTGAACCATTACATTTCTTAACTTATGTACATGTAATCAGTAATCATAAATGTAATCTGATTACTCCTGTCAGTAATCAGTAATTTAATCAATTACAATGTCAAAATGGAGTAATCAGTAATTTAATTTAATCAAGCATTTTGACAAATAATCATAATTTAATCAATTACAATTGTCAAGTAATCGCCCCATGTCTGGTCAATACTAATGAAATATCAATTATTTGGTAACTTTAACCCACTATCCTCTCCTGTTGACTTTACATATTGTTGACGTGTCCTGCCTAGCTCTCATGTTGACTTTACATAATGTTGACTTGTCCTACCTTGCTCTTGTGTTGACTTTACATATTGTTAACTTGTCCTGCTTTGCTCTTGTGTTGACTTTACATATTTTTTACTTGTTCTGTCTAGCTCTCATGTTGACATTACATATTGTTGACTTGTCCTGTCTTGCTCTCGTATTAACTTTACATATTGTTGACTTGTCCTGCTTTGCTCTTGTAATGACTACATATTGTTGACTTGTCCTGCCTTGCTCTTATGTTGACTTTACATATTGTTGACTTGTCCTGCCTTGCTCTTATGTTGACTTTACATATTGTTGACTTGTCCTTCCTTTTTCTTGTGTTGACTTTGCATATGGTTGACTTGTCCTGCCTTGCTTTTGTATTGACTTTACACATTATTGACTTGTTCTGCCTTGCTCTTGTGTTGACTTTACATAATGTTGACTTTTCCTGTCTTGCTCTTTTGTTGACTTTACATATTTTTGACTTGTCCCATCTTGCTTTTGTATTGGCTTTACATATTGTTGACTTGTTCTGCCTTACTCTCATGTTAACTTTACACATTATTGACTTGTCCTGCCTTGATATCATGTTGCCTTTACATATTGTTAACTTGGCCTGCCTTGCTCTCATATTGACTTTACATATTGTTGACTTGTTTCGCCTTGCTCTCATGTTGACTTTACATATAATAGACTTGTCCTGCCTTGATATCATATTGACTTTACATATTGTTGAATCCTCCTTCCTTTTTCTTGTGTTGAATTTACATATTGTTTTGACTTGTCCTGTATTGCTTTCGTATTAACTTTACATATTGTTTTGACTTGTCCTGCTTTGCTCTCGTAATGACTACATATTGTTGACTTGCCCTGCCTTTCTCTTGTGTTGACTTGACATATTATTTACTTGTTCTGCCTTGCTCTTGTATTGACTTTACATCTTTTGACTTCTTTTGCCTTGCTCTCATGTTGACTTTACATATAATTGACTTATCCTGCCTTTATATCATGTTGACTTTACATCTTTTGACTCGTTTTTTCTTTCTCTTGTGTTGACTTTACATATTGTTTTGACTTGTCCTACCTTGCTCTCTTATTGACTACATATTATTTACTTGTTATGCCTTGCTCTCATGTTGACTTTACATATTACTTATTTCTGGCCCACTTAGTGACTGATATCCCAAAAACTTAAAATGGACAGTTCTATAAATGGAACCTGGGTGCAGAGTCCATTAAAGAAGGTTAAAGGCATCTAAAATATTTGGACCTCTGTGCCTGTTTTCATATGTTGAACATTATATATATCCACAATCCTCATGGGATTTCTGCATAATTGTTAAATAACTGTTATCATCAAATGTCCTCCCACACAACTGCGACTTTTGTGATTGAATATTATATATTGCACTTTGTATATTGCACTTTCTTATTATTTCAACTGGTGAGTAAAAGTGGAATTATCTACTGTATAGAAGTCCTTTGACATTTCTCAGTTTTAATTAATTATTAATGGCGGAAAACCTGTAATTATTAATGGTGGAAAACCTGTTTTATTAACAAATTCAGTCACTTGTTTTGATTTAATGAAAAGTACTTTTTTAGTTATTGATTTTCGTTTCGTCATGAATACTTTAGCTCAATTACATGCTCGCCCATATGGCCTTTTTCCGATGAGGGAGGGTAAACAAACCCAAAGACATACAAGCTCAATTATCAGTAAGATATACAATGTACATGTAATTCATGGGAACATTGGTAGATTTTACCATGCAGTAATCAAGGACAACTGGTAATATCAAATTAGCACCCTTAATAATTTCAGCCTCAATTCAATTCAATACCGAAGGCTTTAAGATAAAATTACATTGATAAATATTTCCTATTGCAGGTTCTGCAGTATTCAAGGAGACGATATTGTTACGGCTGCCGAAACCGCTTTAGAGACCCGCTGCCGTACTCGTAAACTTCATATTCTTGATATGAGCATGAACAAAATAAACAGATTGCAGCAGACGACAATCAAAAGACTTTATAAATCATTGACAGATATTTTGATTGTTGATATACCAGATAGGCCGCAGATGGAGTTTGTTGCACAAATGTGAAATATGTCTAAAATAAAAATAAAATATACTGTAAAAATATAAATTGTTCTATTAAAATTACATTTGTATTTTTTTCTGTGGAAACTTTGAGGAACTTTGTAATTTTACAGTTAATCAAGCCAGGTGAGTTAATAACTTAATAAGTTTAAGTGACCTTGATTATTGAGGTCATTCTTTAGGTTGAAAATTAGCACTACACACCTCGTTCATCTGTCCTTTTCCTGACTTTTCCATATTTTCTTTACTTGTAAACAACATCTCCTATATCACTTGATGAATTTTATCTAATTCATAGGAATGATCCTTAGATGTCTTTCTTCAAAAGTTATGGTAGATAAATGGTTCCAGTCTTATGCATAAGTATGTCATAGGAGCAAAGAAAGACTTTGTGTATAAATTCTTCTTTTCAAAAAACCACAATGCCCATAGCTTAGATATTTGGCATGTACCATCACCATATGGTCCTCTAAAATGTAAAATATATCATCTCCCTGTGGTCATAATTGACCCTGCCCTGATAGTAATTTACTTTATAAAGACTTATTTATGAAAACAGTTTTCTTACCTGGAACTACAATGCCCAGAGTAATATTTTCAGGGTATATATGGTGCATATTGCATTGATTTCATAAAGCAGTATAATTAGGAACATTAAAACATTGTCACATGCAAATGTATTTTTTATCCCTTATATGATGTCAATGTATGCTTCTTTCTTCTGAATGCACCCAACTTGCATAACCTGAAAAAAAGCTACGTCTGTTGCAGCCGTGAGAAAGTGAGAATTGCAGGTTAAAGTTTTCTATTAGACTATGAAATTTAAAGAATCACAAAGCACCGCTTTAAACAATAATCAATACATTATCACAAAGGACAAGAAATGCATAACAACACTGTGTTAGAAGAAGCAAAGCATTTTTATCTTACCTTTCGCAGAGTCTGTATACTAGTGGTATATTTATATAATTTATTATCTTTATAGTCTAATCTATTCATGTTCACATATATTTAACACAAATATAAAAAAAAAAACAATCATGAAACGAGAATCACAAGAGAGTGCAGATCATGGAATTACTAAAAAATGATTAAAGGGGAACAACTTTGAAGCCAATATAAAAGCAGACTGTACTGTACTCCAGATTTATCTTCCTTAATAAAATCATGCGACATTAAATTCTTTGTTCAGATTGAAGCCCGTATTGTTTTCATATTTTGAACTATACATAGTAGTAGATTTTGTTTTATCATACAGACATTTACAATACTATCTAACAGAATACTCACTGTGAAAAAAACCGTTTTATGAACTGTTTGGACGTTGCAAATAATATTTTATTCATTTGATGTAGATTAATTGTGTACATAGAGTTCAGTGTAAGATCGGAATATATTTCACCGAGTGAGCACCAAAAGGTATATTTCACGAATGGCTGTGCCACTCGTGAAATTGATCTATGAACTTTTGGTGTTCACGAGGTGAAATCTATTTCGGTCTTACATTAAACTAAACAAATTTCCTTTTTTATTATATGCAAAGAAACGTTGTAAACAGACATTTTAACCTAGTACTAAATGAAAAGGGCGTCCAATAATAATTCAATATGACGTCATTTACGGCGTCACGTCATTAAGTTGGTTTCCAGTACTGTGAACGCTTGTATTTCACTGAAACAACGTAACGGGCTCAAATATCAAAACAGTGAAATTATCAAAATGACAATTTCACTGTTTAAAACTGTGAAATTATCAGTCTTTTATTTCACTGATATATTTCTATAAACCACCGAAAAGCATGTAATAAAGAAATATGATATTAATGCTGACGGTACCTTCCTTGAGTGAGTGGTAATGATCGCTGACTTTAAACCACTTGCCTGTCAAGTGCTACTATTGGTTCGAAGCTCGAAAAGAGATTTTAAATACTAGAATGTGAGAACGTTACCCAGCTTGGTTATGGAAGGCGCTGATTATGATATGCCCATTTTTGCTTTATATTATGCATAATGGGGCGTCTGAGACTTTAAAACCAACCAAAAAAAACAAAAGCCGTATATGATCAATACAGTCTCGACAAGAAAACGACGCCGCTTGTCATTGAATGTCGTGGAATTGTAACATTGAAGTTTTCATGAAAACCAACGTATGAAGGAACACATCTGTGGATGTGTTTTATATTGGTTATATAACACCATGATATAATTAGCTGTTGAGTTCTGTTTAGGCGGTGCTAGCGTGCGTCAACAGTACCACTTTGGTCCATGAACAAGCTCAATCTAAATGAGCAGTATTTGTAATTCTGTAGTTTCCATTTTATCTATCTTATTGCCGGTTTTGAAACATCATCAAACTTTATAAGTCTAAATTAAATGTTATGACTATGTTTTCACTTTTTTATTTATTTGAAGAATTACAAATAAAAACATAAGTCATACAGTCTATTGAGAAGATGTAATAAAATGTACTTTTTGATATCATTTTTCAGAATTATATAAAAGTTGCTTTAATGCATAAAATAACTTGAACTAAAAATAATACGTAAGTCTGCGAATGACGCTTTCAATGAATTTAGCATTGTATATAAAACATACTTTTTATATGCCCGAAAAAATTTCGGCATATTATGTTATACCCCCTGGCGTCCGTCCGTCTGTCTGTCCGTCCGTCCGTTAGCAATTTGGTTTCCGGAGCATAACTTAAGTTCCATTTGGCCCACAGTGTTCAAACTATATAGGATGATTGTCCATATTGGGTAGAAGACCCCTATTGATTTTGGGGTCACAAGGTCAAAGGTCAAGGTCACTATTACTTTAAAACTAAAAACAGTTTCCGGAGCATAATTAAAGTTCCATTTGGCCCACAATATTCAAACTTCATAGGATGATTGTCCATATTGGGTAGAAGACCCCTATTAATTTTGGGGTCACAAGGTCAAAGGTCAAGGTCACTATTACTGTAAAACTGAAAACAGTTTCCAGAACATAACTTAATTTCTATTTGGCCCATAGTGTTCAAACTTCATAGGATGATTATCCATATTGGGTAGAACACCCCTATTGATTTTGGGGTCATAAGGTCAAAGTTCAAGGTTGCTATTACCTCAAAACTGAAAACAGTTTCCAGAGCAAAACTTATGTTCCATTTGGCTACAATATTCAAACTTTAAAGGAGGATTGCTATTTGAAGGAGGTAATACTTTATTTAATTTATGTAATATCTTACAAATGCTTCATCCTTACTTAAAAAAACACTTTCGGGCATATAATGCTCCGCCTAGCGGTGCTCTTGTTCTTTAGATGTGGGACAAAGATATTGTTTCTTGGAATGTAAGCAAGTTTCAAGTTTGTATTGATATCTTAAGGCCCAACTGCGCATGCGTTATCAGAATCACATGACAAGTTAAAACGCACGAATGTGAAAATTGTACTTTTACCTTTTTATCAGAAACAGTCTTATAAATAATTAACTTTTTGCAAAACAGGCTACTGTATTATTAAACAAGAGCTGTCGGTAGGACAGCACACTCGACTATTCTAAGTGCTTGATAGTAAAAGAGCCTTGATAATGTTAAATTTTCTAAGTTCACAAAAGGGCTAATCTTTTTTTATAAATTCATGTTATAGGCCTTAGAGAGAGTCTAATTATACAGTATTGGCTTGACTATTCGTAAGGTTATGTCACAAGGGTGTTATATTGAGTATAATAATACTAATTACCTATGAATACATAAAATTGACAGAAAAGGTACAAAGGCTTGTTATTAGGATGTTTTATCAAGTAAATCACTGCTTTATTATTATGAATGCATAAAATTGTCTCAAAAAAAGGCACAAAACCTTCAGTAGTTATGGAGATAACAGCTTACAAGCAAAACTTTACCCTGAATTTCTAAGTTGAAAAGGGGGAGAAAAATCAGCCTAAATGCAAGATAGAATTATGGATCTTTGTCAGTGACCTACAATTATGACCCTAAATGCATATGTGAAGTTTTAAATAAATATCTTTAATAGTTATTGAGATATGTAAAACTTGCATGTAAACATTAACCAAGAGACTAAGTAGAAAAGGGGATATGAATCAGCCTTAATGCAAGATAGAGTTATGGAACTTATGGTCAGTGACTTACAATTATGACCCTCAAACTATGACCCTAAGTACGTGTGTAAAGTTTCAAGTAAATATCTTTGAAGACCTTTAAGCTTTAATTAACCTAAATTTCAAAGGGGCAAATAATTCTGCAAATATTGCAGGCAGAGTTATGCAATTTTGCAAACTGATTTACATTGTTACTATAAAAAAGTATTGTAAATTTCAATTGAATATCTCAAGCAATAATTGAGATATTTGACTTTACAACAAAACTTTAACCAAAATTTCTAAGTTTTAAAGGGGCCTAATTCTGCCAATATTGCAGGTAGAGTAATCCAACTTGTCAATCTGATGTACCTTGTTACTATAAATAAGTATTGTAAGTTTCAATTGAATATCTCGAGCAATAATTGAGATATTTGACTTTACAAAAAAACCTTTAACCAACGCGGACGCCGACGCCGGGGCGACTACAATAGCTCTCATATTCTTCGAATAGTCGAGCTAATAAGTTAAAAATAAATATTTATAAATTACATTTATAAAATATTTGGAACCTTGAAAAGGCGACATATAGGGATTACTTTTGTCGGCGTCGTTGTCGGTGTCGGCGTCCCCTAAAGCTTGTCCGGAGCATAACTCAGTCACTATAAGTCTGATTGATCTCATTTAGAAGAAGTGCAGTGCACAAGAACCAGTACTCTGCACTTCCTAATTTTTGAGTTATTGCCCTTTGTTAATTTTCACACTTTTTGTCCGGGCCATTTCTCCTAATGTATAAAAGCCATGGACTTGAAACTTCATAGGATGATAAATCTCATTAAGAAGAAGTGCAGTGCACAAGAACCAGTACTCTGCACTTCCTAATTTTTGAGTTATTGCCCTTTGTTAATTTTCATACTTTATTTTCGTCCGGGCCATTTCTCTTCAACTATAAAAGCTATGGACTTGAAACTTCATAGGATGATAGA